GAGAGCCGCCTCGTTCTCCTCCAGTTCTGTACGTAGACAACAAGGCCATGCTGGCCTTGTGTCGGGAGCATAGACTGGAGCACAGAACGAAGCACATTGCTCTTCGCAACTTCCTTGCTCGTGAGCTGCAGCAGCGTGGTCAGCTGCGCCTTGCTTACGTGGCCTCTCAGGCCAACACTGCTGATATCTTCACCAAGGCACTTCAGCCTTGTGATCATCAGCGCTTCTGTACTATGCTAGGTCTTGTGCCTACTTGGCCTCACTTGCTTACCTCTTGACTTTGCTTGTATTGTGATCTATATATACCTGCACCTGCATGTTTACCTTTATATATAATCCTGCATGTGAACTGGCCTTGTGGCCTTTGAACCTGTGCTCGGAATGTGTGGTGACGTTGTGATCCACCCTGAGCTTGCTTTGCTTTGCTTTGCTTGACTGGTCTTGTGACCCCTTGTTCTCCCCCACTTTGCCTATGGGGGTGTGTCAAACTCATATGCTATAGTCTATCTAGGCTGTAGTGGGGTAGACACTACAGGGTACAACACTTCTAGGTTTCCTACTTGTACCCACTTGTTCCTTAGTCATTCATTCCTCATTTCCTCTTTCTTCACACTTAGTATGTAGACCGCAGCTTTAAGTAATGGGATTCAGTGCTTGCGTCATGAATCGTGGTCACGCATGATCGTGGTTACCCGATCAGGTGCACGCGACATTTTTACGTCCGCCTCAATGACACCCCCACCGCGACTCGGCATTGAAAATATACATCGTAACCAAGTTGTTTCGTCTTGCGTTTATCGAATGAATCTTGCGATGTCAGCTGTTTCGGCAAATCAAGTGGTCTCATGACTCGGTTTCTGGGAGTAGGCCATTTTAGCGAGTTCGGTTGGGGTTGTTGATTATTTATCCCAGCGAGCATCAGCCTTTTCTCTCGCCGCCTTCTCCCCTCTCCTCTCCACTTCATCTCCTCTTCCGCTCGTTTCGGCCTTCCAGACGACGCCTTTGCCATTCTCGCAGCCATTTGTGTGCTCCATATTGCCACGTCGCACACGTGACGCGTCAAGCTGGCACACGCAACCATTGGTACCTTGTGGTTTTATTGCGCCTACGCTGAAGAATACTCCATTCTCCGTTGTACGCTTTCGGTATGTGCACTGCCAATCATCTGTGCTGAAGTATATGTGGCTGTTTTAAGTTGGAATTTGCATGTTCCATGTTGACTCCTCCTGGCCGTTTGACGCTGACCCACCTCTTGTCAGAAGTGGTGTTTGTTGTTTTATCTGAAACGGAACTTCTCGATTCAAATTTACTCGATCTCATACCCCTTCTCTCCCTCCGCCTTCCCTGCCTGCCTGACAATCAGCACCCCCTCGCCGTCCCCCTCTAGGTACCACCACTCTTGCAGTGCATAGCAGACGATCAGTCAGAAGCACCTATTATTCATGGTGCCACAGCACCGCTCTCAACTGCTCCACATCCAGCAGTACACCCACTCCCATCCATTTCTTTCTCGGACGTGCACTCTCCTTTCTCTTTGCAACGCACGCCTTTTCTTCCTTCTCCCAGCTTTTGTTTTCCCCAGTGCCTCTATAATCACGTCGTGTGTAATCCAGCCATCTAGATTGAATTGAGCCGTTCCCATGTTGATATATAAAAATTGCTCTTTTCGCCGTCCCCCCTCCCTATTATCTCCTCTTCCCAACAACCTCCCATTCCACCCACGTTACAACCAATCGATTCTTAAGCCACAGCCCCCAGGCACGAGCAGCAGCAGCGGCGTCAGCAGCAGCGGGGATGGCAGCGTCAGTGTCGCCTCCTTCGTGGGCCCACACGGGCTGGCGGGAGTGGTGCTGCTTGCGCGTGATGCGGCAGGAAGGGCGGATGTTAAATTTCCCCGAAGGCACATGTTTAGACGTGTGTGCCAAAAAGGCTCATGGTGCCAGCCACACGTGTTTCACTACGAAGGCATGAAAAGGTCAGTGTAGCATGTTAACCCACGGCCCGACAGGCCTGTTTGTCATTCGCCTTAACTCGCTACCAATCGTAATGGGAGAGGATCACCGAAGCCTCGTTCTCATTCATTCCTGCACGTCAGTTGAAGCAAATGCGCCAGGAAGAATCAGAAATATAATTCACCGCTGGCAATGATCTCCTCAGGTCGCGATCTGCCTCGTGTTGTTGAGCGCCAAGTTCGATACCAGTCTGTGGGCTCGCTGAGCCTTCTCCTCCCCTCTGCCCATCTCCACCACTAAGCCGTTTGCTCAACGACTGTGCATCCCAGTAATGATTTCGAGTAGGCTATCGACACGTCCCATTCCTCCCTCCTCTCAGAGTCATGTGACGATTCTTGAGGCGCCTCAAGCATTGTCGTCACGGAGGTGCTAGTGCTTGTGTGACGGTATCATAAGCAGCCTCGGCCCTCGCCCTCCTCGCTCCCTCCACTCCTCTTCCCATCCCTGTTTTCCTCTTCCCCTCACTTTTTTCCTTCTTCACTTCCCTTCTTTCCTCTTCCCCTTCTGCTTGATCAATAAGAAATGTAGCTAGCTATAATTTGCCCTTCTTCGGATGCAATTATTCTGCCTCTGAATGTCATCTTTCACTCAAATCCACCTCTTCCTCCTTATTGTCTCGTTTCCTGCATCTTTCCACAACACTGCAACCCTCTTTCCCCTTCCCCCACTTCTCCACCCCTCACTTCCCCCTCTATCCCCCTTCTTCCCCACCCCCTGGACACCCCGCCTATTCTCCCGTTCATCCTGCTTCTCCTCCTCCCCATCTCCCCATCCTAATCCATCCCCCTTCCCCTTTCTTCATCCCCACTCTCCCACCCGTCTCCCTCCCCCGTTCCCCATCCCCATCCTCCCACCCCATCCCTCGCACCCTTCCCTCTCTCATCCAGCGCATCACCCACACACGTCTGTTCTTCAGGCAGCCACAGCACCGCTCTTCACCGCACCAGATTCCAGCAGTCTGCCCACTTTCCCATAGCCACTGTGCTCTTGCCTCTTCCCGTTCCTTTCCCCACCTACCGAATCTCCCATTGCTGCGCAAAGCCCTCGTTTCCTCTCACCGCCTGCTCCATACCTCCATCGCCTACCACTAGCCGCCGGAGAGGCTCAAAGTTCCCGGCTCAATGATAGCAGTGAGGAGAGGAGAAGCGCTCAACGCAAGAGGCAGTGGAGGCGGCAAGGGTGCAGCGGCGTTCTTGGCTCAGCACTGGCATGATTCAGAGGGAGGAAGCGTCTCACGGGAGGATCTGGCAGCCGTGGTGGCGGCAGCGCTGGCAGTGCCACCGCCCTCAGCACAGAGACGATTTTTGAGGCGCCTCAAAAAGCGCTGGCAGTGCCACTGCCCTCAGCACAGAGAGATCAAAGGTGTGTGTGTGGGTGGGGTCTGTGTGTAGGAGGGGTGTCTGTGTGGGTGGGGTGTGTGTGTGGGTGGGGTGTGTGTATGGGTGGGGTCTGTGTGTGCGTAAGGTCGGTGATTAATGAGGCGAGTGGCACACAGCGCATGCACTGCTGCTGCCGTTCCACCAAAATTGTGTGTTTGGTAAACTTGTGCCATCTGTCTGTGCGTGTGTGGTGAATGTGAGTGTGTGTGTGGTGAAGGTGCGTGTGTGGTGAAGGTGCGTGTGTGGTGAATGTGAGTGCGTGTGTGGTGAAGGTGCGTGTGTGGTGAATGTGAGTGCGTGTGTGGTGAAGGTGCGTGTGTGGTGAAGGTGCGTGTGTGGTGAATATGAGTGTGTGTGTGGTGAAGGTGCGTGACTGGTGAATATGAATGTAAGGGAATGTGAATAGGTTTGTTCAAGGTGTGTGCTTGAAACAAGGGTTGGAAGCTTCAAGCATGCATTGCCAAGGCACTCTTCAGAGGCAGCACGGCTTGCAGTGGAGCAGTGGAGTGGTGCCCCAAGATCTACTCCCTTTTCCTCCACCTTTCCTCACCTAATTCCTCCACCGCTTCTCTTCCCTTGTCTCTCCCCTCATCTTCCCCCTCCTTTCTCTCCCATGTGCACTGCTACCATGCTGATTCCCTGAGGAATGAGGTGACTCGCACTCTCCACTCGCCTCTCTGTTCCCATCTCCATGACTTCCCTGTCTCCTCATCCTCACTCTCTCTTCCACCCCTCTGTAGCTTTCACTTCACTCCTGAGTCGTTTTCCCTGCTTTCCCTTCTCCGCGTCACATCGGCACGAAACATGTTTGCTGTCTCTCTGCTTTCCTTTCTCTTGGCTCAGCTCCCCACTTCGCACTTCCTCGTTTCCTCTCCTGCCCTCGTCCTCTCGTGCCCTCTCCAATGCCCCCTATCCCACAAGGCAGCGCTACAAGGAAAAGGATAACGCATGCTGATCTCGCGACGATTGTGCGCATTTCGATGCCTCCCTCTCATTCCCCCATCCATCAAGCCAGCGCGGCACATCTGGCGGAGAAGCACATCTAGAAGGAAGCATATCTGGGGGGAACTGGACATAGTGGTGACAGTCTTCCTCCCCTCTTCCAATCCCCATGGTCGCATCAGGTTCCACCTCTCAGCACACCACACCACACAACCAAGTGAAGACACTTCACTCCACTCTCGCCCACGTTCGTTCCTTCCACCAATACCAACTCCATCCACTCATGCGCAATTCGCTCACAGGATTTCTTCACCGCAACCCCCTACTTTTGTTCCCAGCCTCTAGTTCATCTCAGCTCCTGTATTGGTTCTTCGCAATCAGCTCTGCTCTCAACGCGAGATTGTGCCTGCCCCCAAACTTGAAGTTTCGAGTCTCTAGCTTCGACAACCATAAGGGATAGTAATAGCGAAGGCTGTTGATCGACTCATAGACCCAAGTTGTGTCCTCTTCAAAGCTGGCTCCCCTAGCAGTCTCCATGGGCCAAGGCGGCATCAAGTCTCCATCCCGCGACGCCATTCTTGAGTTCCGTTGGTCGTCACTCCTTACAAGCAGCAATCTCGTCCGTCCCTCTTCATCTCACTGCTCCGCGCCTGCGGAGGCGCCAGCGATGGTCCCGGCGGTAGCGCTGGATCGTCCTGCGTCGAAACGGCTTCGCGTGACGTTCTCGAGTAGCACTGACGATCATGCTTCAATGGCTGGCGACGGGATTCCGTCGGCCAGCATCTTGACTACCGATGCCGCGGACTTTCGGATGCGTGGAGAAGAGCATTTGGGAGTCGAATTTCCGTCACACGCGCCGCAAGAGACGGCCGAATCGCAGTGCCGGCTTCTGCACCTTCCGGTATGTTCTGGTGGCTTCGCCCGACAGAGAACTCCTATATTTATCAAGGGGCTCGTGGAGTCCTGTCTTCCGATCCTGAATATGCAGCTCTCAAAGCTAGTATCATCTCTAGACCACACCCTGCTGCTGCTGTTGCTGCTGCGTAAAGTTCAACTGTTGCGCGGCTTCCAGTACCGGGCTGGCTATGATTGTTTTCCTCCTGTTTCCCTGTTACCTGGTCCCACCATGACCGTCGCCCATCCCCTGTCTCGCAGGGCGAGCTGCTATCCTCCATCGTCGCTCGAGTCGCAGCGTCGGCCAGTTGCCCCAGCGACATCGCAAATCTGCGACTGAGGTGCGTATGTCACCTCTCTTTCCTCGTACTCCCGTTTTATGTTGCTACCACTCCTCTCCCTTTTGAGTATCTCCTTCGGTCCTACTTCGTCTCTTCCCTGACGCCTTCCCCTCCCTCATTTTCCTCCGCCCCTCCCCTTCCTCTCCGCAGCTGTCGCACCATGCGCGCAACGGCGCACGCCCCCGCAACGCTGGCCGCGGCGAGTTCCGCGGCGGTGGAAGTGAGGCTGCGCCAGTGGTGCCCGCACGCGCACCAGTTCCTGCGGGAGTGTGAGGCGGGCAACGCCCCCGCCTGCCACTTCCTCGGCATGGTGAGCTCTCCTCACCGCCTCACGGCCTCGCGGCCTCACGGCCTCACAGCAGCCGGCTGACTTCTTGGGGATCCGAGCGCCTGATTTCTCTCCTCTGGTTCACTGTTACTTGCTGTCCAACTTGCCTCCCCTTTCTCTTCCCGCTCTTTGGTTCTCTCCGCTTCTCTTCTCTGCTCTTCTCTCCTCTGCTCTTATCTTCTCTCATCTGCTCTCTTCTTCTTTCTTCTTCTCTTCTCTTCTCTTCTCTTCGATTCTCTTCTCCTCTCCTCTCCTCTCCTCTCCTATCCTCTCTTCTCTTCTCTTCTCTTCTCTTCTCTTCTCTTCTCCTCTCTTCTTTTCTCTCTCCTTCTCTTCTCTTCTCTTCTCTTCTCTTCTCTTCTCTTCTCTTCTCTTCTCTTCTCTTCTCTTCTCGTCTCCTCTCTTCTCTTCTCTTCTCTTCTCCTCTCTTCTCCTCTCTTGTTCTCTCATGCCTATCTTCTGCACCTGCTCACGTCTAGAAGGAAGCATATCTGGGGGGAACTGGACATAGTGGCGACAGTCTTCCTCCCCTCTTCCAATCCCCATGGTCGCATCAGGTTCCACCTCTCTCCCTGCCTCCCCTCGTCACCCCCCCAGGGCGACACCGTGAGGGACAGTTTGTCACGGGAGGATCTGGCAGCGGTGCTGCAGGGAACACGTGCTATCCTCTTCCACCCCCCCCACTCGTGCAGCAGTGCTGGTGCATGCAGGACACGCACTGTCCGCTCCCCTCCCCCACTCGTCCCGGCTCTCTCCTCGTTCCCCCACCACACCCCCAGGGCGACAGCATGAGGGCAGCGCGTCGCGGGAGGATCTGGCAGCCGTGGTGCTGCAGGGAGCACGTGCTGTCCTCTCCCACTTCCCCCTCCAACTCCTTTCTCCCCCACTGTCTCATCAGGTCTCACCTCTCTCACTGTCCCCCCCCACCATCCCCCCAGGGCGGCGCCACGAGGGGCAGCATGTCAAGGGAGGATCTGGCAGCCGTGGTGGCGGCAGCGCTGGCAGTGCTGCCGCCTTGTCAGCACAGACGCATCATTGAGGTGGGCGTGTGCGTGGGGGGAATCTGTTGGGTGCTGTGGGCGTGCAGGTGGGGGGGGTGTGTGGGGGAGGTGGGTGGTGTGTGGGGGTGTGGAGTGTACTTGTATGTGTTTATAATCAGTAAACAGCACTGGTTGGAAGTTTCTATTAGCAAAGCACACTTAGAAGCACTGCTGGCAATGCCATGGTCCAAGAGCCATGGCCCATCAAGAATTCTTAAAAACAATCTGCAGAATTCTCAAAAACAATCTGCAGAATTCTCAAAAACAATCTGCAGCATCATGGTCCATCGAGAGCCATTCTCTACCCCCTTTCCCCCTCCGCCCTTCCTCACACTTCCCCACTTCCCCGCTTTCCTCCTGTCTTCATTTCCCTCATCGCTCCCTTTCTCTCGCTACTTTACTGACTGCCACCATACTCATATTTATTTGCTGATCGCTTCACCCAAGCACCTCTCGCCAGCATACCTGCAAGTTCCAGTTCAACACCTCTCACCCTCCCTCCACCCCTGTCTCTTCCAATCGAGGTGGTCAACTCCGTCACTCCAAGAGACTCTAGCGATGGATATGATTTCTTGGAGAAAATAGCTGGGTTACTGACGGAGCCAATCCCAACCTGACATGTGAATACTACACACGCCATTCTTGAAGTATGACTATGTTGCACGCAGAAAGTTCACAGAGCCCTCACTGGAAGTGCTCTATGCTCGCCATTGAAGATGCAGCCAAATGTGAGGAGCACCGGACTTGGGGGAAGTGCAGCGGTGGTTGTGATCACACGTACAATACTCCTCGGGTGGATGTGCTGCCAGCAATGTTTGCCTTGTTTGGAACTCAATCTAAACAACAAAGCAAGCGTTGATATGATAAAGAGAACACTACCACAATGAACAGTAATGCAGAGAAGCGTAGAGATGGCTAGTGTATGTTAACTTCACAAATATCATTATTGCATTGAACGAAACCCGTCTAGCATCTTCAAACATCCTCGCACCTTCCCACTCCGTCTACTCACCTCTTTCCCCCAAGTGATGCGTTTCACAACAGTCTACCATCAACACATCCACTCTCCAGGTTTGGAATCTTGGAGGTGGTTTCATTATCATCCTCAAAGCTTGGGCATGCCATGATCACGAGAGTCCTGAGGCTGGTGAGACTGGTAATAGACTTGGGCAAGGAGACCAGGTTCGCCCACGAACTTAGAGTCAGCCGCTGCAACTGTGAAAGATTCCCGATCTCTTCCGATAACGAATCTAGGTCGGGGAAGCCAAACAGTACGAATGATGACAGATTCACGAGCTGGCAAGCATATAACACGAAGGATTCTTGACCATCTCTGCCGGATATGCAGCTGGCCGGCCAACCGAACTCAAGAGATGTGAGGCTGCTCCAATTCCAAATCAAGGATGGTGAGAATATGTTTATGTTTCTGCAGTAGTTGGAGGAGAAGGTGCGGAGACTGGAGAGGCTGGAAATGGAATCCGGATAACTGGTAAGGCTGCTGAGCTGGCATAATACGAGATGCTCCAAAGATGACAGGCGATTCATTCTCTGTGGAAGATCCTTCAGCCGAGGGCAGGCTTTGACGACCAAGAAACGAAGGTTAGAAAGAATGCAGAGAGAGTTAGGAAGTGAAGTAAACCACTGGCAACTCTTGATGGTTAGCACCGTGAGGGAAGCGAGGCCTGACACTGCGCTGGGAAGCCTACGGAGACGCTCACATTTCGTGAGCTCTAGAACTTGGAGAGAAGTCAGCTGGAAGAAGGGATCTGGGAGATCGGAAAGACGAGAATTGGTCCGTAAGTGAAACTCTTGGAGGTTCGGGAGCTTGCCGATGGTGTCAGGGAAATCGGTTAAACTTTTCAGTTCAATGAGGCTGAGTTTGATCAATGACCTCAAGCCACTTACAGAGCCTGGGAGTTGGAAAAAGTTCGGCATATTGCTAATCTCTAGATCAGTCAGTTCAGTGAGCTGGCCAAACGACTCGGGAAGGGAGAAAATATGCAGATTGGCGAATTTCACCTTGGTCAGGGACCCTAGTTTGTCGAATCTATCTCAGATTGACTTCCGTCAAAGATGACAGACTGAAGAAGGATGGTGGCAAATCACAGGTGCAGCCAACGGAAACTGTCCTCATGTTCAGGGAGAGGTAATGCAACGCAGTGCACGCTGCGAAGAGGGCATCCAAGCCGTCATACGTCAACCCGTTTTCAAACCCATTGCTCAGGTCTAGATGAGTCAAAAGGGGACACACGGAGCCTAGGCCATAGATGAACTCATCATTATCCGGGTCTAGAACGCACTTGTTGATCGTGAGAGAAGTCAGGCCTTCGAACCGGGAAAGGGTGTTCAGAAGGCCAGCACCTACAGTAAGGCAAGGCCCACTGTTGGCGATGGACGTATGTGTAAGGTACGCAAGACGATTCCAACGTTTACAGACCAACGCGTGATTAAAGTAGCTGGGGGACTGCTGGTTCAGGCAATGGAAGACGGAACAGATGACATCGTCTGGCAGCCGATCTAACGATCGCGACTTGAATCTACGGCAACGCGAGATCCGGGTTCGCTTCAGTCGAAGTCTTCCAACTCGAAACATTGTCCGCACGTCACTACGATATACGGTAAGAACGAGCAGTTGAAGCTCCGTAGAAATCTCAAAAGGTGGGAACTAGTAGGAGCTTGTTTTGTCTGGACGACGTTAGAGTTTGACAACTCTGTCTAACCCCTAGAGTTGAAGTTTTAGGACGCTGGTGCAGGTCCCGCCGCTTTTAGAACTATAATGCCTTCACATTCGAGTTGTCTGGGAGTGTAGTCTTTCCTATCTCGGATGAACTTGGGAGGCCGTGCGTGAAGTTGTGAAGGTTGGTTTGGATAGGAAAGCGTTCGGTTTGATGTTTTAGGAGGCTGGTGCAGGTCCCGCCGCTTGGTGCAGTTGTTACAGACCACTCGTGGTTCGGAGCGTGGCAAAAAGCAACAAGGAGCACCATGTCGCCTTTGGAGCTTGCGAATCGTGATGGCTAGCCGGTTACTTCGCTATCACACACCTGTGGTCGGATCGGCAAGGTTTGGTTCGTCAGCAAGCCTGAAATGGTGTAGGTCAGAAACAAGCCCTCACGTTTCTTTGTTCCGCTAAGCCCTTTCACATCAAAACTGGGCTCCGAAACAGAATAGGCGGAGTCAACTTTCGCCATGTCAGGACTTGGAATGTGACAGTCCCAGAACCCTAAACAGAATCGAGCGGAACCAAATCTTGGTGTCATCCATTATTCATCCCTCTTTTTCTTTTTGTCTCGATCTATGCAATGACTGCTTCGTCCTTGCTCGTAGCACCTTCTGCGACTGGCGCTGCCCAAAATCGAAAAAGCCCATGGCGCCAGGCGCGCTTACTCCGATCGTTTTGTCATTATAAGCGCGTCTCCAGGCGTTGGTGGGTCAGCACAGAGTCGTGAAACGTGCTAACCCACGGCCTGGCAGGCCTGTTTCGGCTTGGCCTTGTCATGGATGATCATAGAAGACACCTTATTTTCCCGAGCGTCAGTCGGAGCGAATATTCCAGGAAGCAGGACTTTTGCTTTCGCCTCGGATTGTGATCTTCCTCGTGCTGAGCTCTAAGTTCGCCACCAGTCCGCGGTCTCAGAGGCGGGAGGTTGAGGATGCAGAGAGGGGGTGGGCGAATCAGAAAAGGGAAGAAAGCGGGGATGGGAATCCGGATTACAGAGGTAAGAGCGGAGCGGAGGGAGGCGTGTGGTCCATGTCTGGAGGGGAATTGAATGAGGGGATGGGATGGGAAGAAGAGAACTGAAAAAAGGTGCGGCTATTGGTCCCTCCCGAGCACAGGTCCCACAGGTCCCACCGCACGGTGGTACTGCCACTCGCCTCAGCATCCGCACACCCACCTTCCCCACACGTTCTCCCCCCTCTTCGGCGCCACCAGCACCCACGAAGAACACTCGACCACACACACACCCACCTCATCAGTTCGTCTCTGCTGGAAGGGCAGTGGCACTGCCAGCTGCCGCCACCACCACTGCCAGATCCCACAGCGAGACTGACGATACCATGATACGATGCTTGAGGCGCCTCAAAATTCGTCACATGACTCTGAAGTGAAGGGGGAGGGGGGAGGAGGAGGGGGGGGGGGGGGAGGGGGAGGAGAGGAGGTTGGGGGGGAAACAGTGTTCTCTTCTCTGCTGTCTCTCCCAGTCACGTTTTCAACCGCGTTACCTCAGGTTGTCTCCAGCTCTTATATCACGCTCTCCAATTTTCCTCTTTTATTTTCGTTTCGGAGGGGGTTGGTTGGTGCTGCCCCACCTGTCGCCATTTCGATTTGAGCGAACCTCCTCTTATCGCGCTTGTGAACCACGCTGCAGGCTCCGTTCCCCTCGCCTACGAACAGAAAGTCTCCGATATGGGCGAACTCGCTATTGATACCTTCACGCTCCGCTCGTTACTCTTATGTTTCTCTCAATGTACATGGTTCCGTATCGCTCTGTTTTTTCTCGAGGAATTTCCTTCTAATACTGGTTCTTTTCCTCATTATCCTATTACAGAGTGCCATGTGTTTTCTCCAACATCATTCCCCTCTCCGCGCTACCAGGTCGCCTTTTCGACTGAACCTCTTGATTCGCCAAGTCGCGGGTCCCGGCGACCTTTTCGCTAGTCGAAGTGATGGACTCGAGTTCGTCAATGTGGAGAGCGATGCGACACGACTGGGGTGCGAATCATTCCTTCAGGCGCCGTTAAGTTCCCTCTAACTTGGCTCACGGACAACCAGCAGGTGGTTATCACCCCCCCAACAGCCTCCCGGCTGGTTGGATTCCGGCCAAGGACTACGACTGCAACATTCAGCTTTCGTTTGCTGACGAGGCGATGGGATGGATGGTAACCACGGTGGGCACACGGCGAAGGAAGCGGATTATCACGGTCCCTGTCCCACTGCTGCTTTAATCATCTGGGCTCGCTGGCGCAGCTGCTGCAGGGCAGCAAAGCAGAGCACGTGGTGCTTGTATCGATAGTTAGCAAAGCATGCAGTTATGGAGAGCAACTAATTTGAGCATGTTTAGGTTTCGCGGATACGTCACTAGTCATCCGCCAATACTTCCCTATCCCATCTGCCCAGCTATCTTTCCTCCACTCATCCCCTACTTCCCTTCCACTCGCCCCTCCCATCCCGCCGACCCCTTTCTCCTCCATCTCCCCCGTCGCTCCCCGCCTCTCCCGTCACATCAGCTGGGGGCCTCCTCGCGCCCATCAGCCCTAGCGGGGCTACTCTGGTCTGTGTCGCCACTAGCAGCGGCAGCAGAGGCGGAAGCAGCTCTTGCGTCTGTTGCTGCCGCTGCTGCTGCCACTGCTGCTGTGCTCGGTGGTGGTTGGGAGAGGGGAGCAGCAGGGGAGGCGCGTCATTGGGGGTTTGGGTGCACGGTGGTGCGAGGGGGGAAGGTGGTGGATGAACCTAGCCGACACAAGGGGCTGCTGCTGGGGCAGGTGAGGCGTGGGGCAGGTGAGGAGTGGGGCAGGTGAGGAGTGGGGCAGGTGAGGAATGGGGTGTGAGGAGCCTCGTTCACTCTCCACTTGCCTCTCCCCCGTCTCCTTGTCTTCTTGTCTCCCTGCCTTCCCTTGCTGCTCATCCTCTCTCTCGTCCACTCCTCCCTGGGTTTCGCCCCTGACCTTTTCCCTGCGTTCTCACATCTGCTGGTCACATCATGAGGAAACATGTTGCCGTCGTGGTTTAGCTCTCCACCTTTCCACTCTTTTTTTTTTCCTTTCCTGCTCGATTCCTTTCTTCTCTCCACTACCCACCATCTCACCAGGCAACACCCAAGGTGAAGCATAGAGCACGCAGATTCAGCAGCTCCTGTGTGCTTTTCATCCTGTCATGCCTTCCTCTCCCTCCCCCACCCATCAAGACAAGACGACCGACACTGTGAAAGAAAGCATAAGTGCTGTTTTTTGGGTTGCGAAGCAACCTATTGCAATCGACCTAAAGAAAAAAAAAATCACGGGAATCTTAATTTATCTGCAAAAAAAAATGTAACATAACTGGAAAAGGCTTGTTTAGGGAACTAATAAATTTGACCATCTTTTCATAACGATCATACCGTACTTGTTTAATATCTGCAAAGAAAAAATTGTAAAATAACTGGAAAATGCTTGTTTAGGGCACTAATAAACCTGACTTTTTTTAATAACGATATACCGTACTGTTGGAATAACCGAAAGGTTATATAAAGCATTCCCGAAGCTGTTCCACTGTACCAGTACCGCAATAGCTCATATAGAGCATGCGGAATGTCGAGGGTCACCCGAAGGTCAACCGTCTGAGGAAGTCAACGGTCGTGACCCTTGACGATCCAGTAACCGCACGACAGTTAATTCACTGCAACATGGTAACTGTCGAGGATAGCAATAGTCACGGTTACTGTAGCTATGCAATACAGTTAATAAGGGAATGTACCCCTCAGAGTACATGGCTAGCTAGATTTCTATTTAATCTCTTGTACTCCTATCTTTCAATTATCTTGTTCTCTTTCAATTATTATTCAACAAGGTCACTATAGAGACTTCATTGTCTCCTCTCAGACTTAACAGATTCTATCCTATCTACTGGATCCTTGGTTATATCAGCATGGTATGAGAGCTAGAGTGGATTATAGGATCTGTCAAGTCCTCGTTCTTCTCAGAAAAATCCCTTTATAAAGTTATTTATTACACCTCAAAGTCTGCAATACTATGGCTCCTGAAGGAAAAGCTACTGCAGACTCACCGGGCCCACCACCAGCAACGACTAACGCGCCATCAGCGGTGACCTCCGTCAGCGCCGCTGTCGTTGAGGAGCTAGTCGCACGCATCAACGCCCTTGAAAGCCATCAAGCAATGAGCGTTGACGACTCAAGCTATGCACGTGGCGTTGCTGGACTTCCTCTCCCTAGAGAAGACCGCCGCGTCAACTCCGAGAGATCCTTCACCTTCGACAATCGTCAAGGGTCAGCTCCTGCACAAGACAACCCACAGCGCTCACAGTCAGACATTGCTTCAATGCAAACCAAATTTGTATTGACTTCAAAATTGAAGACCTCAATTCCTTTCGACGGAAAGGATTTCTATACGTGGAGTTTCGAATTCGAGCTTCTCGCGACAACCGCTCAAATCTGGATGTACTACGACGGAAGCCTACCTTTTCCCTCGGAAGGTACCATCCAGGAGAAGCATCAATACTACCACGAATCCCTCCTCGCGTACACCGCTCTCCTTCGCAATCTCTCACCTGAAGAGCAGCTCGGCATTCGCCCTTATAAGACGGAGTGGGCTCCCGCGCAAGCCTCCTGGGAACACCTGCGCAACTCATACATGGCAACAGATCCAGTTACGATGAGCCGTCTACTCAGCCAACTGACTTCGGTTAAAATGAAGCAAGGGGAGAAAGCGGGACCGTATGTCAACCGGTGCCGCAATCTGCGTGACCAAGTCAAGAAATGCGGTGGGACTGTCCCCGACGACATGTTCATCTCGATGGTCATCTCTGGCCTCGGCCCCGACTGGCGACAATGCCAGTCACTCCTTCGCGCCCGAGCAACCATATCAGAGTCAGCTCTGTGCGCCACGCTTCTTTCGAAGCAGAAGGAAATCGACCTGTACAACGAGAAGAATGTTAAACTGGAGAAATTAGTCTTCTACATAGGAGCGTTATAAGGGGAACAACGCGGAAAGAAGGGAGCTTTCTGCAAATACTGCAAGAAGTCTGGCCACTCTATCGACTAGTGCTACAAGCGGCAGGCCGCTGACGAGCGGCGCAACGCCTCCAACCAACAACCATCGACGCAGACAAAGCCCTCCGCCACTGTGTCGCCTCCTTCCGTCGCCAGCACTTCACAATCCCCTGCACTCATCACGGTGAAGGACAAAGGAAAAGGGACAATCATAAGCTGCATGGCTCGACGCAACATAGGGTCCCGTTACTCGGATCGAGTAACATTCACTCGCGACAATCCCATCAACCCCGTTGCGCCCAGTCCAGACAATGACCCAACAGTTTTTACCTGGTCCTCTTGCCCCTCAGACATTCCTCCTGACTTCGAGCTCCCTCCCCCTACTCCGGAATCGCCGCCGAGCATTTCCGCAAACAGATATTTCGCCCTCTCACCGTACACCGGCGACCTTGATCGCATCGTCACACCCAAGATTGCCAACCTCGCCCGCCAGCACTACGAGGATCTGGACACGTGGTACCTCGACAGTTGCTGCGGACAACACATGGTGGGATCGCCAAAGTTCATCAGCAACTCTCGACGCATGCGACAACCCTGCGAAATCACCGCCGCCAACAACGGAAAAATGAAGGCATATGAGATTGGCGAAATCTACCTCGAGGCCGATGACACGAAGTTCACCATTCACATCGGGGACGTTCTCGTCGCCCCTGACCTACAATACAACTTACTCTCATCAGCTCAACTCATGCGGTGCGGAATCGACATTCGCAGCAATCGGAAGGAAAAGACCTTCGAGCTCTTCCACAACGAAACTTACATCGGAAAGGCGATCGATGATGATGGAGTCTTCGTGCTGCAATTTTCGGCTCAGGGCACCACCGGCGACTCCCACCGCACACTGCTACTGAAAACAACTCCCACGGAGCCACCAACATGGTCACATCCCGACGAGATGGACCTCGAGCGACCAGCCTCCGACGGCCTTCTACGCTTGCGCACTGTCCCGACTGCCTCGACCTCCAACCCTGCAGAAACCGGACCTGCCACAACAGAAGAAGACAGCGGCACGTCAGGACCTGCAACTCAACCAACCGAGGAAAACAAGACAGCGGAGACACACTGGCCGGGCTGGAACACTTCCGAGCCCGCGCTCGGATCCTGGGGAGAAGTACTAACTCCAGAAGAAGCAGCCGCAAGTGGGTGGGGCGCAGCTCCAGCAGAGGAAGTTGGCGTAACAGCAGGAGAAGCAGTTGGAGAAGCAGAGACCGCTGAAGACACATGGGGCGCCAGAGGAGGATGGGACACCACGGCCGAAGCAGAACAAGGGCACGCGGAAGCAGCTGGTTTCCCTCCTGCGGAAGTTGCCGTCGTCGACCCATACTGGGCAACTCGCGGTACCTGCTGGGGAGGTCCACCTCTCCCAGATCAATACGCCCCTGACACACCCGAGCAAATGGCAGAAGAGTCAGAAGAAGAAGAAGCCTACGAATTTATGGGAGAACCAACAGAGTTACCCGAACCTACCGAGGAGCCGGAGCCGCCAGTACAAGGACCACAAGAAATTGAGGTCATCGGCGCTGAATACAGTTACTTCAGAATCCCCGTGAAGGGAATCCCAGTTCGGGAATGGCCCAACCAATGCCTGCTCGTTACCGGAGACCAAGTCGAAGCCGGCGACACCGACGACATCATCGACATTCCCCGCGTGCTTCTGGAGCGAAAAGCAATTCGCGCGCTCGCCGCCGACACCGACTCCGCCACCGACGCAGGACCTGAAGGGGAGGCAAACGACGAAGCAGCGCGACAAAAATATTATCAAAAGACAGTCGGTTACCGTGCGGACCCAGAAACATGGCACCAACGGCTCGGCCATCCCTCCCACGCCACGCTCAAAAACTCGCTCAAGGCCGGAGTCTTCGACAACGACGCGCTCCTCCTTCCTCGAAACGGTTCCCTCACCGCGGACTCACCTAACCCGCCATGCATCGTCTGCCCAACCGCGTCGCTCAATCACCAGCCGTTCCCCGATTTGCCCCCAGGGTATGAACGCTACAAGCCGCTGGACAAGGTTTACAGCGACTTTATGGTGCTCAGCCAGGAGGGGCTCGACGGGGAGCAGTACACACTTACCTTCATCGACGCATCTACTCGCTATGTCTGGGCCGTCAACACCGACAGCAGGTCTTTGGCCTTCGAGTGCTTCATTGCGTGGATGAAGCGGGCTGAGCGACAGTCCGGTCTCAAACTCAAAACCTGGCAGACGGACGGAGCCCTGGAGTTCTTCTCAGACGAGTTCAAGGAGCTCCTCAAGCAGAAGGGGATTGAGCACCTGGTGTCCCTGCCCTACGCTCACCAACAGCAAGGAGTAGCAGAACGGACAAACAGAAGCCTCGCCACGCGGATGAGGGCTCTGATGAAGCAGTCGGCCATCCCAACAAAATATTGGCCGTTTGCGATGAATCACGGTGTTCGGCTGCACAACTTGCTGTCCTCGCGAAGCCTCGAGAACAACAACTCTCCCTACCGGGCATGGACGGGCAGAAAAGCTTCGGGTGTTTGGCTGCATGGTACAGTTTAGACCCCACACTGCGAGAACCGGAAAATTTGCTGACCGGGCACGATGGGGCATCCACCTCGGGATCGAGAAGGAATTCAAGGCGTGGATCGTGCTGGACTACGCGACACACGAGGTGACGAAATCACGTGACTGCATCTTCTACGAGAAGCTGACTCTGCCCCTTTTTAAGGAGCACCAGGAAGCCGACAAACTTCCCGAGAGGCTCTTCGAGGGCCACCGCAGCTTCGCCACGTCACACGACGAAGCTGACCTGGCCGAGGATGCAGACGCACCTGATGTCACCCCAATGGACTCCGCTCCGAGCATCCCCCTCACAAGCCAATTCGGGACTCCGACATTCGTACCTCTACACCAACCCGATCCTAACGATACAACTCGCGCGGCTCATGACTACAATAGTGAGGCGCGCCGATCACCTGATGCCGAGTTACCACAACCCAACATGTCGCAGGATACCCTCCGCCTCGGCAACGACAGCGATGACGACGTGGTCGAAGTTACCAGCTTCCACGACTATGACCGACTTCACTACGAAAAGACTGACGAAACCGGTCTCCGCGTTCTCGGCCTCGCCGTCGCTGTTCGCTGCACCTCGCCCAAGGAACCAACCACCGTCCGCCAAGCCCTATCTGGCCCCGAC